CAGCGGTGGCCAGTTCATGAAGGTCAACAGAACATCCCATATCGATCAATATCCCACTCCTGCCTCCATTACCTTGTGCTTTGTTTCCTCAGTCATAGCAAGTTTGCACTCTCACACATCGATTCACAGCGATCTTTGATGCATTTTTAATGAGCTGCGAGGCAAGTGTTCATAAAGCTAGGAGAGGTTTCTGTGCTTACGTTTGACTAAGCGTTTTGGGGCTATGGATGTTGGCAACTGTCCTGTCCTGTACTTAAATGTACTGTATTTCCTGTTGTGCTTCTCCACTAATGTGCTGAGAGGACCCATCCAAATTCATACTTGAAGATCTGGCACTTGCATCATTAGCATTTAGCTGCGTTTATATTGTATATAGATTGTGATGCAATTGAAATAGGTCTTCACCATCAGTAGGCCACTACTGCTGCTGCTTTATTTTATCAGACCTGCTTCATTAGCTCTCTTGACTCTTAATTCATCACTCTCCTGTGATCTAAACGAGTCAAATTAATCCAGCTCAGACGATGTAATAGCCTTTAGAGTAGATCATTTATGAGGCCACAGTGTTACTTTAATCGCTGTCCTTGAGCCCTCACATGCAGTAAAGGCATGCTTTGTTGCAGGATCAATAGTTCAGCCATTAGCTTTTACCAAATATGGCACCAGGGTGTATTTACATACTGTTACAGCTACTGAAGCTCTTTCATTCTCTTGGGCTTCTTGAATGTAAATACACTTAAAGTTTTATTCTCGTCCAGCTATTAGTGGTCGAAGCAGTCGAGGCCCGAGGGGACGTTCTCAGAAAATGTTTCGTCATTGCTTTTCAGTAATGTCACACTTGTGGCCAGTAGACATGGACCCCCTACTGGTTTGGAATTCCCATACACTCTCTCTCTCTCTCTCCCTCTCTCTCACACACACACACACACACACACACACAAGCAAGAGAGCGGCACATGGTGTGTTTGTCCATGTAGGCTAGAAGGGGAAACATGCTATTTCCGCTGTGCAGGGGGATCTATTGCCACAGGGGGTCAGAGGTCAGAGTTCAGAGATTAAGAAGTCACACAGTTGCGCCATCTGGCCTGTAGAACCTCAAAATATCTGGCAGCACCTTCCGTCTACAACACTTTTTTATTTTCTAAAGTTTAGTTTTAATCCACATTGTTGTATATCTGATATATATATATATAAATATATACAGTATTTATCTGTGACTGTCTAGACTTGCTTGATTCTGATTTTTTTTGCCCATCTCTCATGAGGAGGATGTAGCGCCACAACCAGTTGCTCATTCCAGACTGGTCAGACATGGTCTACTCTCCCCTGCTGTTGTATAATTAGTAAAGGCTGCGGGGTCAGTGCCCACAGACATTCTCCTCTGACTAATGTGCTCGGGATCACAGAGCAAGTATTTACCTCCTGGGGAGCATGTAAAAACACACCAACACGGACACAAACGGTGTAAGATATCACACATACACACGCCCCTTTCTTCATCACATGAAGGAACACCGGCGAGGGGTTATTTGTAGAGGGGTTACATGGTGGCGGTGCTTTCAGCTGGATGAAAACGGCAGCAGCCGCAGCACCACCACCACACAGGAGCAGCCTCAACATAAATAGTCTAGCTTGCCATAAAAAAAAAAAAGTGTCGCCTAAGTTTAGATTTAGCGGATTAGATTTCCTGTAGTACGAACGGGGATGCTATGTCAGTCACGTCATCTTATAAAGTGAAGACATGAGCTAGTTATCATCATCATCATCATCATCATCATCATCGCTGAAGGAATAGAGTCAGGGGAAGAAGAAGGAGATTAAAGAGAGGAGACGAGAGCTGCCGTGAAAATCTGCGAGTCAAATGAGGGAAAACAGTGTCACAATCATCATCAATCACATCAATCACAATCCATAACCATTTAACGCCCATCACATATTTATTGTTATCAGCTGGAATGACGAATGTGGTTGTCGTCTATTGTTTTGCGTTGCTGTGCGCAATAGCAAAGCGACTTGTCCTGCATGCTAATGGTGTACAGATGACACAACAGACTCCCATCCTTCCATTCCACCACACAACTAAAATCTTCTTCTGTACATCTGCTTTTGTTCAATCACTTTTTTTCTACTAAGTGCTAAAAATACTCTATACGAACCAGGATCAGGATTCGGTGTATTCATCAGTCTATTTTTTTTACCCGGTGAGCTTCTCTTCTCTGTTTTCTCCATCTGCCTGCAGCAGGGTGGAGTTTGCTCCCTGCTTGCTAGCTTGGAGAGAGCTCATTAAATGACTGTTGTTGGACGAAGCAGCTCTTTCCATTACATGAGTGTTTGACACCAGCGGGCTGAAGGAGCTATCTGTATGTTTGCATGGAAAGGGCGAATGTTAGTGTATGCACATTTATGTGTTTTTCAGCGTGTGTTTGTCTCAGTTACTTTAGAAACAGTTATTGGAAATGATTGGTCTCTTGAGGAAAGCAAAAAAAGAGTCTGAAGTCAGAAACTGGGCTTGTAGAAAGTGCACATCAAGGAAGTGGGTGTGTGCAGTAGAGCCTAACCTAATGGGACTGATGTCATTCTATCAAACTCCACACTCTGGATTTCAGTGGCTCCTTACCCTCCCACCTCCCTCACACACCGTCAAACAGGCTGTTGTGATAGACCTCCCACACACGTACACACAGCAAGGGCAGCCTTTAGACTAGTGGGAGACACTGAGCAGCAGCAGCAGCAGCAGCTCTCCTGATCCGGCCAGACAGCGAGCTATTCAGGAGAGAGGGAGGAGGAGGAGGAGGAGGAGAAGGAACAGTAGCCAAAACCAACTCCTCCAACAACTCCTGCTGTAATCCCTCATGTCCCACCCCGGGGGCTCCTCTGCAGGGCTTTTCCCAGCTTAGTTTGAGGCTGTGCCGTCGTCCACTGCTCACACAGGTAAGGGGAACCTCCTCCCGTGGAGGTGTTTCTGCTGTTTCTCCTTTTGACGAGGCTTTGACTTGCTTTGAGGTGACTTGTTGAAGTGTTGTAGTTCAGGCACTCTGGATGTGAAGTCAGCTGAGCTTGTGTGGCTGATCATCTTAATTGCGTGAGTCACATTTGGCTTCAGTGCAGGTGATTATAAAGGTACTGAAATGGAGAGAGCGAGGGGGGCTCCTCTTTCACGACTTCTGTCTATGTTTATCAGGATGATGGATGCATTTAAAGTGTGTGTGTGTGTGTGTACACGGGAACTCATGCACAGCCCCTAACTTGATACTGAAGCAGTTTCATGAGATATATAAATATGTAATGATGACTTGATTTGGAGACTCCCGTCTTAGCAGCTACATTTACAGCGGAGACAACAGTGCCGTTTGTGAAGCATTCACACCAACAGCTCTTTTTTTGGCTGTAGTCTAATCTGATGATTGTAGTTATGACGGCTACCTTGACTTTTGATTTACTGAGCTGTCTACATCACAGGTTACGCTGGAGATTCACTGTCCCAGTGGCATGTGATATTACAACAGGCCATTACCAATAGACTAGACATGCTAGAAGCTACTGCTGCCTCTTTTTCCCGCACTGGTGGTTCACTAATGTACCAATCAAAGTATTCCCACTAACGGATTAGTAGTAGTAAACATACACTGTGATTTACTGTGACCAAGAGCCTCCAGATTGGTTTCCAGCAGAGAGCCTGACAGGGCAGCACCAACCTCTTGGCAAGTTGCCTGGGGCCAGCCAAGGAGACCTTGCAGTGCTCAGCTTGTGTACACCCACCAAGCTCAATTACAGAGCCCTGTATTCACTGAAGCTGAGATGGAGATATCTATAAGTTACAGAGACACAGACAGCTTCTTTGTGCAGCTCCTTTCCCAGCCGTAGAATCTGATTCGGTTATCGGGGCATGCCTCCATAGGTTATGAGGTTTCTTGGTAACTGTAATGGACAGGGGAAGAGGAATTGTCTGAAGGTATTGTTTCTGTCTTTGCCCTCTTGAACTATGTTTAACCATACAAACTGTTACTAAACCATGTGGAGGATGTGAGGAAGTGTAGAACAGACTCTCCATTCCTTGATGAATCTTGCTCCATTGGCGTGCTGTGTTGACTGCACGAGGGAGGAAAAAGGTGCATTTAAGTGTGTGTGTGTGTGTGTGTGTGTGTGTGTGTGTGTGTGTGTGTGTGTGTGTGTGTGTGTGTGTGTGTGTGTGTGTGTGTTTTTGCTTTTGCAGTGGTACTCTCAGTATGTTGAGCTTTTGTTTGGCTTTGAGTTTGGGAGGCCAGGAAAAGACTCCAGGCCTCCCTTTACTCAGTGAGGCTGATTTTCCAGTGATGACTAAATTCTTCTGATCGGGGCACCCCACTTCCTCCTCACTGGACTTGGGCGTTGCTGTGTGTGAATGTACAGTATATGTGCGTCTGCATTTGTGTTTAGATAACACAACTTGCGCTGCACTATTCCAACTGAGTTTATGAGTTCACAGATCAGTAGATTAAAAGTCTGTGATGCCCATTTATGCTTCTGTTTTCTACATCAGGTTATGCTATTCACAGTTCTGGGATCATAACTAAATAAAGTCAACATCTGATTCATCTTCTGTTGTGCTGCTGTTGCTCAGGTGGCACAGATAAATCCAATTGGCTTCAGAAAGTGAAAATCAGGCTCCTGTGATTTCATCGTTTTTTCCACAGTGCATGCCACAGACCCTGCTCATTTCCTGAAGCTGGCAGAATAGGTGGACACGAGCCAGTGTTTAATTTAACTGCAGCTATTTTGGCCATACCCACCCATGTCTCCTGACACTCCTGCTTCTGTCTCCTCACTCTTTGCTCTTAAATGCCTTGATAAATATTGTGTGCTTATATTTAGAAGATTACACATTTATTTCTGTAATGGCCAAAGAACTGTGGCTCTAAAAATACATGGGCAGTTCAAAATTGCTCTACATATAAATAGTTGCTGATTGTTGTATTTTGGTTTAATCTGATTCTAATGAGTCTCTGTCCTGTTTGTTTTAGAAGTCATCCATACCCAAGGACCCCTGGACGGCAGCCTCTACGCCAAAGTTCGCAAAAAGGAATCCATTGAAGGAACAGTCACAGCGAATGGCCTTCCGCCCACTGCTGTTGAACACGCCCTACCTGCGGTTGACCATGCCTTATCAGTGAGCAGCGACTCAGGAAATTCTACCGCCTCCATCAAAACCGACCGAACTGATGAAGCGGCAACAGCCCCTCAGACGTCCACAGTGAGCCAGACACACGTTCCAGTGGTTGAGGAGTCAGCCTCAGTCCATCACCACGCCCCAGCTGCCCAACAATCAATCAGCCCCCAAGAGAAACAGGAGCTGGAGCAGCTGCTGAGCGGCTTGGAGGGGCCCATGCACCGACAGGGCTACCTGTCCACCCCGCCATCTACTGTTGGAGGGATGCTTCACCTGGTGCCTGCCCAGGTCCACGTCAATGGGCACACTAGCATTGACCGTGAAACGGACATTTTAGATGACGAGCTGCCCACCAGTCAAGAGGGCAACAGTGTGGACAGTCTAGGAACGTTCTCCTCCACCGATGGAAGGGCTACACCGGCTGATCTCTACTACCAGTCTGAGCCACTTATCAATGGCCAGGACCATGTGCCGTATCTGGAGCGCAGCGTCCCAGAAAAGCCTATGGAAACCGCTCAGCCACAGGTTGGCAGATCCGACAAACCTGTCACCTTGACCCAAAGCGATTCAGCCCCGTTATCGGTTACTTACATGGCGACCCAGAATGGCAGTATGTACCGCTCTCACTCATTTGGGGCAGATCCAAAATCTATGCCACAAGCTCCCGCCCGCACCACCAGCAGCAGGGATGCCGTCCAGCGTGGTCTTAACGTTTGGCAGCGGTTCGGTGTACCTGAGGAGCCAGTGACCGAAGGCGTCACTTTTAGTCCTCCTCCTTCTGTAGCAGTGATCCCCAGCCACCACAGCCTCCCACAGTTCCCTAATCGCCACAGCGCCTCCCAGCAAGAGATTGAGCAATCTATTGAAACCCTTAATCTCCTCATGTTGGACCTGGAACCGGGACGCTCGCAGGTGCCAAAGTCCCAAAGTGCTCCCCTGCGAGAAAACAGTGTTGTAGTGACCACCCAGCCATCCTTTTCCCAGAGCCAAACCAGGCCCTCCTATCAGGGCGATGCCGCCATTCATACCCACTTTTCAGGTCCCAAGTCCACCCTGGCCAGCCACTCGTCACCAGCTCAGCTATCACCTGGGAAGCTCAGTACACCAGAGCTTGCACCTGTCCAGGGATCTCTGGGTTACACCTCTGAAACCACTGGAACTAGTCCTCCCGCACAAGCCTCCCCTACTGTAGCTGGCCACGCCCAGCTGAAGCCCATCAACACCTACCCACCAAGCACGCTGTCCCATTCTGCAGAGGTTTCTGAGCCCCAGAGAAGTCCGAGTGCTGCGTCAGCATCACCCCAGCCAAGAGTCAGCGAGCCTGATGAAGTCTTCAACGTTGAAGGTCTGGTGGCTCAAAGAGTGGCTGGTAAGATGCATCATTGACTTATTTTATCATGACACCTCACTTAATTTATAACCTCAGCACCTTTTAATAAAAAAAAAAAACAAAACAAAAGAAAAACACATCCAACACAGAAGGAATATAAGGGTGGAGTGATGCAGTCTGTAGAAATATTGGATTTCTACTTGTTCGTCGCAACCTTTTCCTAATTCTCAGCAAACCGAGATCACAAAAATACATCTGAAGCCTGCTGCTGAAAAACAGAATTCACTGACATCACGACTTCACCTTTACTTATAGTAGAAGGACACCACACTATATAGTTTTTTTAGCATGATGACATGGAGAAATACAGCATGTCGTGTCGGTCATGAAGCTGTTTAATTCTTATTTTACCTTCAGTTCATGTGATCCATCTCTCGGACCAGTTTGGTTCATCTGGGCTGGCCTTAGCTTCTGTTTTCTATAAAGCTCACACTCCAAATTTCTCGCATTGCAAAAAACTGAATCTTGGTTGTAGCCAAACACTAAAACATTTGGTTTATTATTTCCACAACCAGCCTTTTATCCAGGACAGAGGATAATAACATTACCCTACTGTGTAATAGCCATTGCTGATGCTAAATACAAAAATATTAGCACATCCTTTACTAAGTATTATTCATCATATTAGTTGTTTGTAATATTTTGTGTGGCAGAAAATGCAGGACAGAAGAAAGTACTAAAGAATAATGTTTCCGTCAGCCATGCACTGTACACTCATCTCCCTTGGAAAACACTGCTCTGTCCTTATCTCATTTCCTGAATGTCACCTCATTGGTCCCCATCACTCAGGCTCAAACAGGAAACATTCTCTCTAGTCCGGCAGGTTGACTGTCCCTAGATAAGCACATCAGACATCCTGCAGAGCAGCAAGACGTGGAGCAAAGTCAACATACAGCAGCACAATAGCTGAGCCCTGATCTAGCATACGGATCACTTCACTTTAGTGCTATTTAAACAGAGTGATTTGTTCACATTACGCAATAGTAAGTGCTACTTTAACACCATTCAAAGTTGGAAACGTAGGATACTGTTTGTGTGAGGTAAATGAAACAGATCTCAAATTGCTTTCCACTTCCTGTATCATAGAAATGTTCATTTTTTCATGACTTGTTTGGAAACAGTAAAGACAAAGCAGTCACTTATGGTTTATAATGTGAGGTCCATAGCTTAGCATGCACATCAGCACATCACAGGTTCATGTCCAAACTATAACAGGAAGGAGAAGCTTTGAAATGACAATTACCTTCTTGTTCTCCTGTTCTCGTCATAAGCGGGACCTCATCCTCTGTCTGCTTGTTTTCCTTTTCCTTTTAGTTTTACCATCATCATTTTTCCTTTCTCTCTCTCTCATCATTCATCTTTTTTACCCAGAATACTCGGCTCGTGCCAAAAGTGTCATCCCCAGCATGACTTCCTCTCAGTCTGAGCACCGCCGTTCTCACTCCCTCTCGGGTTGGTTCTCCCATCCTGTCCGAAGGAACACTTAAAACGAAAAAAGGAGAGGTCCTTTTTTCAAGTGTTCCTTCAATCCAAGTTCAAGTCTGTATCTGTTTTGCCTTGGACTGCAGTGCTCTTTGGTTGTTAATGATTTATCATATCTTGTCTTGTCTTGTCACTTCCTCTTTCCTCTCTCCCTGTCATACATAACACGGTTTTCTCTGTCATCATCGGGTTTGCAGAGCAGCATCATCAAACTAACCCTCTTATGATTTCTTTCTTCACCCCTCATTGCTGTTTGTTCTGAGCAGTTTTATACCTCGAGGTAAGGAAATTACTCAAACTGTGGTGCAGAAAAAAACCTCAGTTGGATAATGTTAAAGTTTCACAAGAACGAGACAGGAGAAGCACAAAGGAGTCTCTGTCCCTTGCCAGGAGAGTGCATGTCACAAGATCCGTTTTGCCAAACTTGGGGAACAATACAGAGGCCAGGATACACTGGACTCATTCAAGGCTGCTTTTTTTCACTCGCACTATTTTGAAGATTTACAAAGCCAGATAAAGGACACCAAATCTAGGAGAGAGACCGCGGTCCTAGTTGGAAACCTCACTGTATGTGTCCGCTGGGAGACAGCCACCACAATGCAGAAAGGATTGTTCTGTGTAGGGCCTGAGGGTGTCATGGGCCAGTCTGGCCTCTTTACCGCAGACAGCAATATCCGCTTTAGTGATGCAACACTACGCCAACGTTTACATGTTGAATTGTAGAATTGGAATAAAGTTCTAATGAGGTCATATCCCCAGTCATCATGTCCTACAAGAATTCATTAGAGTCTGAAATAAACAATTAATTACAATATTATAATTGATCCCCTCAGTTTTACCTTAGATAAGTTCCTTCTCCATTGCAGGTGTGCACATATGGAGACTGAGGTTTCCCTCCCTTATTAAAAAACAAAACAAAAAAAAAATAAACACAGATACCCACAGGATCACCTATCAGGTTTATGTTTTTGGAATCAACCCCCTTCATATTCCACGTGATAACTGGCTTTTAAACAGCTGGAAAATGGGAGAAGAGAAAGAGAAAATAGTCAGTGCTAGGGATCTCCAGCCATCCCAGCTGGAAACCATTAGCGGTCACTAGGGCAACGGCGCAGTGTTTGACAGTGCTCTGCTGTTGTGCAGTGCATCGTGGGTACATCTGGTTCTCAGTTTCCAGGCTCAGTGCATTGGTGGGTGTGTTTCTGGCCGGGGGGTGTTGACTGCATGCTTCTCAAAGAGGTCAGCTCCAAGATTTTTTAACCATCACCCTGCCAATACCTGAAGGTAAATCAAGCATCCTAACAGACGGCTTGACTGGCACTTGTTTACCACTGATTTCTTTCTATTGTGTAAAAACAGTATAGCTATATAGAGCCGTGATTTATTGACCTTAACTGAATGATAATTTCACTGTTTCCACAACAGTCAGGCTCGTGGGGTGCGTCTGGGTTTTTTTTTCCATGTGTTGAAATGTCCATCAGCATCAGGCTGAAAAAAGCTTTCAGTTAAATGTTTAAAAAGGAGCTATTTGTAGATTTTGCTATTGCTATATTGCTAGCATTAGCATTAACAGCTGTTTACTTGCCAGTCTAGAAGAAACATTGAGTTCAGATTCAAACTTCATTCCTTTATTCACCAAGAGCTGTCTCCAGAGGTGGAAAGAAACACCTATGCTAACGCTTGTCTCTATCATGTCTTTTCTTCTACTGAAGAAACCAGCTATTCCGATAGCGACTCACTGTAGCCTCCAATCTGCCCTGAAGATGTAGCGCTGCTCACAGAATGTATTACAACCTCTTATCTTGTAAACACAATGGCTGAAGCGCTTGTCAGGCAACAATCACCACCACCTGCTCCCGGCAAGAAACCATGTTCAGCAGCAGAGAAAACTTACAAAATACCCCCTTTAATGATACTATTAGCTTGTCTTTGTTTTCAGTTTGTAGATGAGCTCATTCCCTCTGGCAAAGTCAGATGTTTGAGGTGTGAAAGAGGAGATGCTTTGGTAGTAGTCAGTCAAAGAAAACATGTAAATTGAAACTGCACAAATACTCAGTCTGTCAGATCTGTTGTTTATCCAACTGTTTCAGTGACAGAATCATCATGAAACACCAAGAGAGTAACACTGAGAAAAGCCACGGGGTAAACCGCCTCAGCACAAACAACACCACATCATTTATTATCCCAGTTTTCCCACTCGTTTCTTAAACCCATTATTCTTCCCTCTCTTTCTCCTGTTAACCTTCATCTCATTCCAAAGCGCAGGGCAGCCAGTGATAAGCCTTTGACACTGGCTTTTCTGCTTTGGCCAGCGCTTCATTGGTTGCTACCTCGACCTACCAGTCAATGGCATCGCATATTAGCTTAAAACTCTTAACTCAAAATCCTTGTTTGTTTTATGCTGCTAGCTCTCTCTCTCTCTCTCTTTCTCTCTCTCCCTCTCTCACTTCCGACGAGATTAACTAAAATAAGCTTACTGGCTGCTTTGAGGTTCAGCCAGCACTGGCCACATTGACGCATTAGATAACAAACATTCAGTTTGAGAAGTCTTGATAATTTGTTTGAGAGAACATTTTTTCTCCCAGTCTTCCAAAACATTGCTGCTTATTACAATTTCAGCTGATGCTACATGGGGTGAACATTACTTTATGTAACATATTTCCAAGGTCCCTGAAGTTTGAGAAACTTGCAATAGTTTGTGTCTTTTGCTTTGCCGAATTTATGATTTTTTTGTTTAATTTCTTGTGACTTAACTTGGTTTCAGTTTGATCAGCAGTTAACCTTGCATTAACCTTGCGTGTGTGCATGTAGGCTGTGTATGAAAGTCTGAAGAACCACAGCCTTCTGCAAAAGCTTTGATTGTCTGTAAAATGCACACTACAGCAGTGAGCATTCACACCGGCTGATAACTATTAACATCTGATGGAGGGAAGCAGGACAATGGAGCAGCATCGACCGACCCTTGCAGGAATTTTAACACTCACTTCTACGTCATCTCAGGTGTCCAGGCCCGAGCAGCGTCCTCAGACGAGCCTGCGACTCTGCCTCGTCATCGCATCACCAGCGACGGCCACTATCCAAACGGCCCCGACGACGGCCCTTCTCCTGATATCCCACTTCGTTCCCCCGTTCGATGTGTTTCTCCGGAGTTTGTTAATGCCATAGCGCTGAACCCCGGAGGGCGGCCTAAGGAGGTAAAACGCGTACATGTTGGAGCATGCTTTCACACATGTCTCCCCCCCCCATGTTGCTGTGTGATGGTTTTATGTTTATTTCTTTCATCTCATTGTTTTTCCTCTACAGAGACATATGCACAGCTACCGGGAGGCCTTTGAGGAACTGGAAGGAGGCCCCATTAGTCCTACACCCACAGTTGGTGGTGAGGTGTTTCCCCAAACCCCTGCCTTCCCCATCTCGCCGCAAACCCCTTACTTCAACCTGTGTAAGTTCCCCCTCCGGCTGACAGAGGGCACTGTGGAGCTCAGGCCTAGTTACTGAAGACTGTATGTAACAGCAGAGAATTACTCTTACCCTTGAGTCAATATGCAGTACTGCAAGTTGTAGTTTAAAACTTCTACACACGTCACGTTGCACCTGTCTAAAATGCTAGACAAGATGTCGAAGTAAATTATATGTTTGTGTAATTTAACTTTGATTCACTGTTGGATGAATATGAATACTTGTTTTAGTTAAAAGTTGAACTTAGATGTGATTGTGATACTGACAGAACCTCGGGTGGGAAAAATCTTGAGATATAAAAGTTTTCTGACACTTAATAGACTGAAGGTAATTTATCTTGACTTACAGTAACTTCTCTCTCCATTTGGTGCCACATATTCCGAGTCATGATAATAAATGCCCTCTATTACCTCATCCCATTTTCATTCAGATTGTAAATGGGCTGCATTTCCAATGTCCAGTGTTGGAGTGGGAAGTTGCAGCATTGTGGCCTTGTGTTGGCTCATCCAAAATGCCTGAGTGGCCACGTCTCATGAAAGACTGAATCCTTCTTTTCTCACAAGAATGTCAGTAGTCATCGTTCAGCAGATGCAGAGTCAGTCTGGTGTAATCCCACCAGCTGCTTGATCATGTCTCTTTTCAGAGTCACTCCACAGAGAAAGAAAGAAAAGATATAAAAGAGAAAAGATATAGACACACCAACAGCCATACACACAGTTACGGACAAATGTACACACACTTACCTCCCTCCCTCCCCCAGCCCTCCCTCAGTCTCACACACACCTCTGACTAAATCAAGTCACATATTAAGTTAAGGTATCGTTGCCAACTCTGCCAATTACCTCATCCAGTCCTCTTGCCTATCTCCCCCAGGGCACACCCATAAAATTTAGTCATAAAAACGCACACACCATATTTTGAACACGCTCTGGGATGGAACCCCCTCTCCCACCTCCTTCCCTTCACAGTGGGAAGATTGTGTAAGCAATGACACGGAGCAGTAACGTGTTGAATGCCTGTATCAGTCGTGTTTTTAAGTTCTTCTTGCACCACAAATCCAGATGATCTTTTTCTCAGCTGATCACACAATGAAGTTAACTGCTATCATCAGTCAACTGAGAACGGATTTGCTGTTACTGGCAAAACTTGTTAAAAGTGCATGGTTAGCCGACTGATTAGTGCACGTGACACCGTCATCTGAGTGTCCCCTAGTCTTCACTTAGCCTATCCCCCCACCCCCCCCCACCCAAACACACACACACACACACACACACACACACACACACACCACCCACGATTACATGTCGGGCATCCAGGTTGCAAGTACAAAGAATTGATTTGGATTCTTTGGTAAGTGGAGGATGCACGTGTCTCTACCGGAGTTCCACTGTCCCACAACGTCAGCCATATTTACCCCCTCCCCCTATCCCCAAAGCCCTGTGCCGTCTCTCTGCCCGAGTGACCCTTTACCCATCACTTATCACAGTCCTGCACCGCTTTGGCATGAGAGCCACACGAGAGCAGCACTGGCAACAAAATGGACACAGTGTAGAGCGCACACATCAGACACACTCAAAAAAAAAACACACACTGCAGTTTGTGTGATGACTGAAAACATACACACATAGATCCATACACATATTGTACAGCACACAAATGTGCCATTATTGTGAACTTCCACTCTCAGCTGCTGCTGCTCTGTGTTGCTGTTCATCTCATCTGTTTTTGGGTTCCTGTTGCTGCCATGTTTCACTGCAACCAGCACCCTGCCTGCAGCCCCCCCCCCCTGCCAACAGCCTCAATTACCCAGCCATTTATGTCCTGTCGTTTGATAATCTTGCCGGCAATACATGTCTGTTATCTCAAAAGTTTTTTTTTTCCTCCAAATGATTATTTTTGTTTACGCTGGAGGGAATAAAAGGAGTAGTTGGCACTGGAGTGCAGATTAATGTCGTGAAAAGCATCACCTGGAATAAAACACATTCACTGAAAGAGGATTATAGTCATGTAGATCTCAGTGTAAGTGACTAAGGCAACACACTCTACTCCTCATCTTTCCCTCCGGCGTTAATATAGCAGAGACTGTGTCAAAGTTCAGCTTCTCTCATGGACAGTAGTAGCATGTAACCCAAAGGAATACAGGGCTGTTAGCATTGCTAAGGTAAAGAACGTAAAACTAGAATAAGCTGCAGTCTATAAAACTCACAAATGTATAAGAACAACAATGAAGGAATACACATACAATTTTCCTGTAATACGTATGCGTCTAGGAAACCAAGTGTAGTTCAGTTTGACCCAGCTCTGCTTTGATGAGCGTGACACACATCTCATTCTGCTGTAGACTGAGGTGTTGTCACAGCCAGAGGTTTGTCACATCTCGGTTGGTCATGTGCATGTTTTGCCCCTCCATCAGAGCATGAGGCATGGGCACGCCCCTCTGAACATACTGCTCGTGTGTTAACCCGTGCTGATGATTTATGACTCGTCTTGACAGCTGTATACCTGTGTGTCAGTGTATGAACTGACTATATTATCATTAAAATATTCAATGGATATTATGATGTTTTAATCTTTATTGGTTGTTTTTTTACAAAAAAAAAAAAAGGGTGATAAATCACGGTTAGAGTGTGAAAACAGGTAGCACCTGTCAAGATGTGTGTGATATATGCTGCTGTGTGCTCATAACTATTCATTTCTCTTCAGGTCGGTCCCCTCCTGGTCTTGCCAAGACTCCACTGTCGGCCCTGGGGTTGAAGCCCCACAACCCGGCAGAAATCCTCCTGAATCAAACAGGCTCAGGTTGGTTGTACCACTCACTGAATTAGCTATTAATCACGACCTTCAGTAGCAAATCAGCTATGGCAGGAAGGATGACTAGGAAAGGACTGTATCGAAGTTGTTTACCTATGTAAACAATGTAAAACAGGCCTATTTCTTATAATAACAAAGTAAGACCACCTGAGAAACACAAAATGACTTTAATTTTATCTGGTCAAAAATAATGGATTGCGTATTTGTAGCATTAATATTTAAACCCTTACACCGAGCAGCTAACACAACACATAGGGCTTCACATTAATTTACTGACTGACATTCCCTGTCATACACACGCTCTCCTTAATAACACACAATTAGATAAATGCAGCACAGAAAATGTCTTCTCTTTCCTTCCGCCCTGCTGTGCATGTGTCGCTTTACATTCTTCTGTTTCTCTGGATTATCTCCAATGATGCTTCACAGATGATGAGAGCAGTGAGGGTGAGGAAGGTAAGAGCGCTGCTGAAGTGCCAGAGATCATTATCACCATTCGAGTTGTTAATCTCCTCCACCTCATTTCTCCACCTACATATCATGTGTTTTCAGACTTTTTTCCATTTTCATTTACAGTCTGGAAAAGTCAAAACCACTCTCATGGCAAAATACATGATAACGGTCAATTTATATCCACTCATTTGGTAGTTACCCACTTTTACAGTTTTCTTTTTCTTTTTTTGTGTATCACCCTTAATTCATGATGAGACCACCCTCCATGTAATACATTTAGGAAATCGCTTAATTATCACACACAACAGAAAACCCTTTGTGGCTCATAGAGATACTCCTCTCTCTCACATGCAGCACCAAGAAGCTACGTAGAGTCTGTGGCGAGGTCGGCAGCGGCAGGTGGAGAGCCGTCCACGTCACCGCAGAGCCTCAGCCCGCTGGGAGAGGCGACCAGCCAGCAGAGGAGTCCAAGTCCCTCCGCCCACACACTGAACCCACCTTTGTCCAGCAGCAGTCCCATCCAGACCTCACAGGGGTGGGTCAAATATATAATGTTGGTTTTTTGTGAGATCTTAAGAATGCATTTTAAAGAAATGAGTAAAAGGAAAAAAAAAAGATCTCTATATAGTCACATGGTCTTTGAAAATAAGGATTGTCTTGTCTGTTTCTTAGTGAGGAGGAAGCTCTGTACCCGACTGCCAACTAGCACAGCTGGTTAATAGACTTTTCCATTTCTCTTCCAGTGACCGGCCCTTAACAGAGAGCAGTGTTAGCACTCCGTCCCAACCCACTACTGATTCAGGCTTCCGCTCCCAGGCTACAGGGAGTGCCTACCCCACTCCCACCCCCTCATATCAAGCCGTGAATACTCCCACCTCCTCCTACCTGGATTCCAGCTCTCCAGCCTCTTCCTACCTTGGCACTACTACCCCTACATTGTCCTACCTTGGTCCCAACACCATCCAGGGGAGCTATGTGGCCACAGATCCAAGCCCGCCCACCTCAGAACCCTCCCAGATCACGCTCAGCCATGGAAGTCCCCGTGCACAGCACCGGACCAACATCCTCGGCTCCGCTCACAGTCCTGTCCTCCAGCAGCGCTCAAACGCGAATCAGGATGTTTTCATAATGGGTCAACATACATCACCAGCCAATGGCTTTGATGTAGGCATGCCAGGTCTCATGTCAGGTGGCAGTCCCGTCCTCGGCCGTCGTCTGTCTCAGGGAGCTCAGAATAGCCCAGTCCTCAGCAGACAGGCTTCTTTGGGACAGGGGTCTCAGCGGAGTCCGGTCCTCAGCAGGCAGCCGTCCTTGGGCCAACCCCTGCAGAGCAGCCCCGTGCTCAGCCGACAGCCGTCCGTCACACACCCCCAAGGAAGTCCGGTTTTGGGCCGTCACCCGTCTGTGTCACAGGTGTCCCAGAGGAGCCCCAGTCTGGACCGTCACCCTATGCACAGCGGTTACACCACCCCAGACGAGAGACATGGGAACCTGTCAAGACAGAGCAGCTCCTCAGGCTACCAGGGACCACCCACTCCCTCCTTCCCCATCGCGCCTGCAGGCTACCAGGATGGGGGGATGATGGGGATGGGTGTAGGGTTCAGGCAGGGTAGCCCAGCCCCCGGTTTCCAGCCCCAGCTTCCGGAGAAGAGGCGCATGTCGAGCGGCGACAGGCCAAACGGAGCCGTGTCCTATGGCACGCTGAACGGGAAGATGGTGTCCCCAATGAGCGGAGGAGGCAATCAAGGCTACTTCCACACCCTCTCTGACTTCTCCAGGTTCAATATGTCTGGTAAGGACATAAATTCTCTGGAGTAACATGACCATTAAAATGAAACATCAGCACTGATAGATCTAGATGCCGAGGGGGCAGGGTAGCAATAGAGTGGCTTTCAGCCCAGTGTGTCGGCAGCCGCCTCTTGGTTTGTGTTGTGCTTTTAGAGTTTTCTATAAAGAATGTAGTGTAGATGTCCACACTACTATGTTTAAGTTTTAAAACATATCTCTTTTGCTATGTTTGCGCCTGCCGTCCACACTACTCACCTCACGCTCGCTTTACCTTTTTTAGTTAAAACTCTGGGGTTGCGTTGTAGTCTAGACGGGCAATAACTGATCGGGTCTCATCAGCCTTCGGCTACCAGTGGTGAATGCAACATGGAAAACGAATTACAAGTGTTACTGACCTTGTCGTTTTTTGCGCGCTGCTGTTGTGCAGTTGAATTCTGCCTTTTAATGCCACAACACCCTTGGCTGTTCCTCGCTGGGAGTATTTTGTGCAACTAACCAACAGCAGAGCAGACAATCTGCTTCCTCTGTACACTGGATCGCACATGCCCAGTGTATGTTAATCGTCATGTATGTGTGCGTTTTCAGGTGGGACAATTTTTCGGTTTTCAAAAGCTCTTTTAAAATGAAAATGTAGTAGTGTGGATGTAGCCCTTGAATTTCTATGAAGACTGACCCCTAATGTAGTGTCAGATACAAAATGAAAGCTGCAGCTCTTGTTCAGGGAGACGTCACTTGACCTTGGTATTTTGGATTTTTGCTTATCACCTGAATTCATTTGTTGGCTCTCAAATGTTCAAACCAGTTATTGGTCCGTCTTCCTACCTACCGCCTTAATCTCTTTTCTAGAGGACATCGATGCCATTCGATATGTGAATTCAGAAGTCATACACCATGATTATATCCACACAAAATAACATTAAAATGCTCGTCAGCACCAGTATAAACTTGACTTGACTGGCGTGCTGACCAGATCACCGTCACAGCTCGGCCGGTTCAACAACAAAATATACTGAGCGTACTGTATATTAGAGCTTTCAGGTGTATCTTGAGTGACATACACTGTCTATAAGAACACTGGTCTACTTCACAGGGATTTTAGCAAAGCTCAGCGTATCCATTTCTGTGAGGTTCTCTTTGTTTTCCTTGCAGATGGAAGTCCTGAGAGCAGGCTGAATGTCAAGTTTGTCCAAGACACGTCCAAGTTCTGGTACAAGCCAGACATTTCCAGGGAGCAAGGTAAGATCGCACAGAGCATGACTCACACGGCTGAAAGATTTTTCCCTTGAATGACCTTCAGATATTTTCTGCAAATGCTGTAATCACTACTATTACGTGTTTAATCAGATCAATATCCAAATGGGAAAAGGTTATTTTTGACGGTTTGTTTTATCTTCTTGGTGCCGGGTGTCAACTGTGGGCACTGGTCTTTTCATTGTGTAAAGTTGGAGAGTACAGTTAAAGGAACAGTCCACCAGAAACTAACACTTTAAATTTCAATGTCTCACACTATTGTGACAAATGGAAGCTGCGTGTTTAGTGATGTTCTGGCAAACTTAGAAATGGTTGAAACACGCAGAGCATGGGAATAGACAGTGGAGGAGTGGATTACACTGCAGAGATGTGGAGCTCAGTCTCTATTATAGACTGTTCCCATGAAGCATTTAAGAAGTGGTTAGTATGATTAAACTGTTTTTATTCAACTGGAAAGATTTAGTTGAATTTGAAGCCTCGGTGTTGAATTTCACACACAGGTCTGAAGACACTCTAACATTGTCTCTTTTGCAGACACACATGCAGTAATGAATATGCATGCATATGCATACACACATGCGCGCATACCACTTTATACACAACGTCTCTGTGCTTGTGTGTTTTGGTTGTGAGGTCAGCGGCTATTGGTTTCCCCATCTGCATTCGCTCATGGCTCGTATTGGATTATATCATGTTAAACACAAGCACATGCTCAACTGCAATGACATCAGACACACACACACACACACACATTCACACACACACAGTTTATACTTAGTCCCATGCACTCCCAGAAGGAAAGCCACACCATATGTAGAGAATTAGGGAACATCTGCATGTGTTGCTCATCTCATCCATCTTCCTTCCTTAAACTGCCACATGTGGACAGGCCGAGGCATTGAACTAAATAGTGAAGTAATGGAGGAGAGAGTGAAACTCCTCTCCTTGAACAATGGAGCATCTGAGGCAAAGTGTAATGTTAGATGTTGTAGGTTGTAGTGAAATACAGACTGACAGCAATTTTTTAAACAAAGGATCAGGACTCCTTTCGCCTTATTCTTGTTTGTTCTTTACCTTTGATTTCTTTTTCTCTGGTTCACTCTGATCCTTTAATGTGCTCACTTTCTCTGACCTCCAAATGCTATCAGCCAAATTTAGCTTGGCACAGTGTAAAAAGCATATCGCTAATTCAGTAGCAGTGTCTTGTCCTGAGAATCACCTAAGAGGAACATCAATGTCTGGACAAGCAATCCATCTAATAGCTGTTGAGACATTTCAATCTGGACTAAAGTGGTGGATCCAATTAGCTTCGCCACTAGCATGGCTAAAAAATGAAAGAATAATAACTGAATTGTCCCTGTGTTGCAGCTATTGGCCTGCTGAGAGAGAGGGAGCCTGGAGCCTTTGTTATTCGGGACAGTCACTCGTTCAGAGGGGCCTACGGTTTGGCCATGAAGGTGGCGTGTCCCCCGCCCTCCGTGCATCAGAGCAAGAAAGGTAGGGGGCAGGATGCTGGGTACCGTGATTAGATATTTCGAAGCAGTAAAAAATGCCACAAGTATTTATTTTGCTTCTCCTTGTTTTGGTCTCAGGTCAGGGTGGAGACAGAATTACAGTTAATATCTTAATGCCAAAGGTATGAGGTGATGTCTCCGGGTTAATCAGCTGTGTGTAGACTTACTCACCCCCCTCTCCCTCTCCTTTGGTGCAGGTGACATCACCAACGAGCTGGTGAGGCACTTCCTGATCGAGAGCAGCCCGAAAGGAGTGAAGCTGAAGGGTTGTCCCAATGAGCCTTACTTTGGTCAGTGAGAGCCCCCCCCGCCCCCGTTTTTTTATTTTCTAACACACACACACTCACATGTAGGCTCTACTGACAGCTTCGTAAAGTCAGTCAGCTCTCCTCTCCTGACTGTGCGCCTTTCACAGATCTGCACCTCTTTGCAAGTCCTGTAACGTCTAATCCCACTGTAATTATAGTATTGACTGAAATGATCTAACTCGTGTTCTCCCTACTAATTACACTGGCTGTATCACGTGTGCGTGTGTGTGTGTGTTTTTGTATGCATGCACCCGTACAATCCTTTTACTGCCAAATCCAAAATGGGGCAAGCTGACTTCTGTAAACATCTGTCGTGCTTCACCTTGTTTCTTCTTTCTCTCCTGTCCTCAGCTCGTAACTCTTTCCTCCTGCTGCATGTTTTTGTTTCATTTTACAGCTACTGATACCAAAGGGATGATGAAGTGTGTTTGTTCTACATTACTAACAGTTTTTTGTATCCCTCAATCTCCCCCTAAAACTAACAAACCACATTTACCCAAACCCAACAGAATGAATTATGGGGAGTGTTAGTTGTATTAAATAATTAATAACATTATAACTTTTCTAACTAAAGTAGATAAAGAATGATTATTATAATTATCGTGGCAAAGAAATTTGACACTGACTGGCTGTTGCTATTAATGCATGTACATTTTTAATGTCTACATTATCTGACAGGAGTGATACATATCAACCAATAAAATCGATAACTAATGAAAACCACAGTCAACAGAATGTATGTTTATTACACAAGAAATAAGCAGCAGTCTAAAGCAGAGTTCACTCTCAGTGTGAGATGTAGAGTTCAAAGATGAGAATGAACTGCTGAAGGATAAATCCTTGTTTTTGACTTGGTGTCTTGTGTCTGTTTGGCAGGCTGTCTGTCTGCCTTGGTCTACCAACATGCCATCACACCACTGGCCCTGCCCTGCAAGCTCCTCATCCCTACCACAGGTCCGTGCAGCCACATGTGATTGTTGTAAAGTTTAGGATTTTTTTTTTCTATATTGTTTATGAGTAATCATACATTTCTACAGATAAATACTTTATTAAAACTAGGGCTGGGTATCAAACTCATACTTTTACAGACTGACTGAATTTGTTCGATACGATCAAGAATTGAGGATTGAAAAATGTCCCGTCATTCGATACCAAATTTCAACACCTAATGAGTAAATGAGTAAAACTCAATAGCGTTAGTGAACCAACAATCATGCAGCATGATCTAATAATGCTGATGATTGCCTGTTTATTTACATGAACACGTTTGAGTGTGTAAAGAAACTGAGCTTAAAAATAAAACTAAAGTCAAACTAAGATTTGATTGTAATGTGTATTGTCTTCTTTTTGTTAAAATGGATTTGATATCGGAACAAGTATCATTAAGAATCGATATCAAGGTATCAGTATCAGGACTCATCCAAAACCTTTGAACAATACCCAGCTGTAATTAAAACTTGTCAGACCATACGGACTCGGATCTTCAATGAGCGAATGTGCAAACAGTGAAGTATGACATAGCTCTCGTGTAAAGAAGTTATAGCAAAACAGATTTCAGGTATTCAAGTTCTTAACTCTTAAATACATAACTATTACCCAGCTACCCCATGTTTTAAATGAATTTTGTTCCAGGCATTTCCTTGTGTAAATATTTTTGTTGCTAGGTAAGATTTAAAACAGATTACCATAAAAGTTTTTTTTTAATCTCAGGTAGATATACAGTACATAATATCACTGGTGAGACTGGAACCTGTAATTAACACAGTAAGAGGCATGTGAATGAAAAAGAGATGAAACTACACTGTCACATGTTGTAACCCCTGCAGGCTCACAGGAGGCTGCAATGCAACTACATTAAAGCTACAATTAGAGCTTTATGTCAAAACTGCAAACGTCCCCTCTCTCCTGTTTTGTGCAGATCTCACTGAGGAAGCACCAGAGGTCGCAACGACAAATCCACTGACTGAGCGGCTGAAACAAGGAGCAGGTAAAACATCAACTCACTGTCACTGTTAAAAGCGCAGTCCTCTCATTTTATACCACTCTGCTCGTGACATTCAAATTCAACGATGAACCATCCCATTCACTTATTCTGACAACATGACATCCTTGTCATCCCAGTGCAGAGTGCCCCTGCTGATTCCCATGGTAAACCCTGTGCACTTTTATTTGGAAACCTACATCTGGAATGTGCATTCTGTGTCTGTTGTCTGCTTGTGTATGTTGTTACCTGCACAAATGAAGACAGATGTTAACGGCCCTGTTTAACAGAGTTCCCTCAGAAGTGTCTTTTAACATTAGCGCCCAGCTTCTCGTCTATAACAGGCAGAATGCTTTATGTGGAATGATTTGGATGGAACTTCCAGAAAGCATGCTCTCTAATGAGAAGACATTTTTGCATGAACAGGTCATTGGCAATCGTATTTCCCTAAATAGTCATTAATAACATTTTACAGGATTCAATTTGGAATCAATACAGTTTGTTTTTGTCTTTACAGAATTACTGCTCCATTGTCCGTTTTCTAAAACTTCTGCCTTTCCAATCTTGACATATTTATTTAATCTGACCGGGACATCTGTTCTCTTCCCAGCATGCAATGTTCTCTACATCAACTCAGTGGAGATGGAGTCGCTGACAGGCCCTCAGGCTGTTGCCAAGGCCATATCTGAGACACTGGCTGCCACTTCTCCACCTACTGCCACCATTGTGCACTTCAAGGTGTCTTCACAAGGCATCACGCTGACAGACAACCAGAGGAAGTAAGTCTGGATGCTGCACACACACTGTTTGACACACTGAAGTGTATGGAAGCGTAAACATTGCATGACATCTGGAGATTTGGCTGCAGACGTATTTGAAGAGACATTTTTCTGATGACTGAACACGTCTGGAGACATAAATTTGTTTTTGAAGGGCGAGTGTCAGCATGTGTCACTACACAGAAGCAAATAATAACTGAGGATTAAAGGATCAGGTCCTTATTATTTACTGCAGTATTTCAATCAAATCTGTTCTCTGCAGCGTACCAGAATAGATAAAATACATTTTAAACAAAGTTTAAAAACATTTAAACCATAGATTTATAATATAGGTTTGGATTTAGGTGTCACTTCAAATCCAGCCATGCACATTTGTTGCAACCCCTGCTCCCTTATTTCCTGTCATCTCTTTGCTACTGCCAGCTTATAAAGGGAATATTTAAATACAAACAGTAGATAAAAATATTGGCTGACATGTCACATTACAATTTTCTTTGAAACCCCAGATGTCGATACCCGTGTTGCCCTCTGAAAGCCAGTAGTGCAGGGTTTCCCACCTCAAGAGCAACCTCTCCTAATACCAGAGGAAATTATTACAAATTAGGAAATATAATAAACATCTTATTCACAGAGCTCAATGCACTGCAACTTAAGAAAACAAATGCAAATAGGCAAAACAAGCTAATTGAGAGAACATCATCAGTTTGGCAACACGTGTTTAGTGTCCTTTTTAGTGTCCCCTGGAAACACTTTGTCTGTGCTACTTGCAGCACATTTGTGTATTTGGTTGAGCTGTCAATATTTGCAGATTTGCAGGACATGTGTTGTCAAATAGATGTTTCTCAAGTTGTTTGTGTTTTGCCTATATGCATGCGCTTTCTTAAGCTGCAGTTCACTGAACTCTCAGGGCCACTGTACTTATCAAGTTTCAGGCTGAAGTTAGTTTGATGATTATCAATCATCAAACAATTGAACAAATTTTTTTTTACCCAAGACAGTCTGCATCTTGAAGTAAGTTACATGTTCGTTTTGACCAGCTGGACTTATGTAATCAATGGCTGTGATCATCTAACCATTGTCCTGTTGTATTGGTCACACTCTAACCATAAGCATGCTTACGATTAGCATCAAACGATGAGGTATGCTTCCTCCATGTTAAACTAATTTGGATGCACTGCACAATGAATCATCTGCTGCTCCACACAATGCTTGTTTTCACTGTGTTCTATCACTCATGTCTGTAACCTCTCTGTTGATTTTGTCTGTTATAGGATTTTCTTCCGACGCCACTACCCTACCAACACTGTCACGTTCTGCGATACTGACCCTCAGGACAGAAAGTGAGTACGCAAACATGAAATACAGTCAAATTAGATGTTTGTTTAACCTGACTTCCAAGAGAGACGTATCCTTGGTATCCTATCCAATTCATTTTGCTTTCTGAGAATGGTAAAATTAACATTTTTATCAAATCTTTTCAGGTGGAACAAGCCTGAGGGAGGCACAGCCAAGTAAGTAAACCTTCAATGTAATGTCATACTCCTGTTGATTCTGATGATTCTAGATAACACCAGGGGGCAAAAATATGAGTAATCCAGTCTCAAAACTTTAAGAATTTTTTTCATCAAATTCAGACACAGTTCAGGGGTCTACCAATATGTGGTTTTTGATGCAGTCTGATGCTTGAACGTGGTAGCTCTAGTGAATACATCTCTAACTTTTGTCACTCCAGGCTGTTTGGGTTTGTGGCACGTAAGCAGGGAAGCACAACCGACAACGTCAGCCACCTCTTCGCTGAGATGGACCCTGACCAGCCTGCCAGCGCCATCGTCAACTTCGTCTCGAAGATGATCGCCTCGCAGAAACAATGAGAGCTGTCTGCAAACCCTGGCGCTTTATTTTTTTAAATGCCTTTGGTTATTTTCTTTCCTTTTAACCACAGACACTTTCTGTTTTGGACAATTAAGCATTTGTTTTGATGCGCCACCTTATTTTTCCTGCTCTTTTACATTTAGGCAAATCTGTGTGTGTGTGCGTGTGTGTGTGTGTGTGTGTGTGTGTGTGTTTGTGTGTGTGTAAGCGAATGAAAAAAGAACAAGACAGAGAGTGTGTGTGATGTGTTTGTGTGTATGCGGCTTGCATGCATGTGCTTTTCTTCTTGGACGGACTCCAGAATGGACCAGAGGAAGTGCAGGATGGGGAGTGGCTGTGTGTGACGGTGGGACGGGAGGTGATGTTAATCTCCCTGGCAGGGTAACTCATGAACAGGACGAGAGAATGACATTGTGTGTGCAAATGTTATTTTTTTAGCAATTGTTTCATTTTTTATTTTTTTAAAGAAGAAGTCAAGTTGTGTGATGTAAAGGTGGATTGTATATCTATCAGGCTTTTGACTGGTCAACCAAAGATTTTAAAAAAGTAGTCAGGGCGTGTATAGTGTGCCATTGTCAGAGGGTCGGAAGTATTCTTTTGTAAAACAAATATGGCTGCTTAATCAAAAAAAAAAAAAATACTGAACTGTTTCTTTCTGTATGTACTGATACTGTAGGTCAATTCAGCACCGTCGCCGTCTTGCAAACTGCGTTCTCGGACATTTTTGCAGCCGGTGGAGGTCTGTGTAAATATTCTAGATTTATGCTTTATGAGTAGGACTGTTCTAGATGACAATTGGTGCCTGACTTTTTTTGTAATGCAGAGCTTTTTAAGAAAAAGAAGAACATAAAACTCATACAGGCCGTCTTAAATATGCAAATAGCCAAACTCTGAAATAAGGTTGTTCTCCAAAATTCCACAGGTCCTTCCCTGTTTGATGTAGTAGTGTAGCTGAAGATGCAACTGATGTTATTCCTCTGACGTGCAGCTAGAGTCTGACAAAATCGGCTGAACCTATTACTGTATCCACGTGAGCATCTGTAAGAACGCTATTGGATCATCAACAGTCAAGTCTCTTGATTGTTTTGGTCAGACGAGCTTCCTGTCTACCGCCATCCTCTGTTCAGTCTGCGCAGCACGTAGCCACGCTATTTCGCTCATGACTGAAGGGCCCAGAGTTGTTTTGGGAGGACGACCTTTAGAGAAAAGTGTCGTCCTGCTACACCGCTCTTCAGTTTTTCTGCGTTGAAAGTTTTCCGTCAGCCGGCCAAAACTGTTAACTCTCACACCCTACCCAAAAGTAAGCTATACATATAAATATACATATATAGATATATATGAAAAAAACTTCCAAACAGTGACTTAAGATATTTATTTTTTTGCTTTGTTGCTCTATGTTATCTTGTATACATGTATTATAAGGTATACATCAAGATTACTGAAAACGAGAAGAAAAAATTGCTTTTTATTTTGGCTAAAGTCAAGAGCATTGACATATATAAGGTGTAAAGTGTGTGCATTTAAAAGTGTATCACTGTTGTTTTTGAATGTTTTTTTTCACAGCATTACTTCTTTTTGTTAACATTCTTGTTTTCTTGGGGAGGCTTTTTGTTGTTGTTTTGTTGTTGTTGTTTTTGTTTTTTTTTCTGTTTCCTTTTTTTATTTTGTATGAAAGATTGTTGTTACTGAAGTCCAAATTGGAGTTATCCTAAAGTGATGCCAACAAAATTGTTTTATTAACTTAAACCTGCCTAGAAAATACATTGCCCAAGTTTAGCACTTAAATGTTTTAAGTATTATCAGTGTGTTTCTGCAAAAAGACAAGATATGGACATTGACAGACCCATTTTATGTCATCATTGCATGTGTGGAGGGAGACTTGCTGGTTCCTCAATCTCTACAGCATGGGACTGATCCTTGTACATGGAGAATGATAAAGTTCAGTCAGCAGCTGCTGCCCTCATGTGGTGGAGAACTATCATTACAACAGAACCACTTTTATTCTAATACAGTGTTTTAGCTGTGATTACGGCAGGTCAAAGGGTAAATGTTTGAGTTAAATTCGATCACTGAGAAAATGAACTAAAATATTAATTTTTCAATAATTTTAATCCTGATTCCTGTGCTGATTTTCTTAGCAAATTAGTTTTTACTTTATTTTAAAGTCCCATTCAATCTCCTTTCTTTATGCCCGACACACAAGGATCAGTTGGCAGCATGATGTAAAATACTTAGATAAGGGTTAGTTTGGGGGCATACATTAACTCAAATGTGCTTCTTCAAAAAAAAAAAAAAAATACAGCACTTACAGGGCTTTTATATCTGACTAGAATGTTCCATTATTTATTAGCAAGAGCCTGCACGCTCAAGTCAGCTTGTTACCTTAGTGCTGCTGACTGTAATCTGTACACAGTATCCTCAAGTCTTACTCAACCAGTCTCAGAAAGATGCCCATACATAGTTATCATCAGGTTTTGATTTTCACGTGACGACTGTATCTTGACTCAGATAATGAGACAGAAGATTCTATATTTTTGCCTGTTAAGAGAAGAGGACTTCCTTGTCTTCAAACTGAATGTTAGCCATTTGTTTGCCAAGATGGAAACTCCAGTGGCATCTGCCCACTTTGACAGATCAGTCTGGACTGTAGAATGTGTGTGAATGAGCTACTATGCCTGTATAGAGCTTTGTCATTTTTTTTGGTTTGCTACATTGTATGGCTTTTACTATTTCTGATGGAAAAAAAACACATTAAAAAGCAGTACAAATCAAAATGTATGTTAATGTCTGTTCTTCTTTGTGTCAAACATGCAGTTTGGCCTTGTTGTTACTTTAACTGTGGGAAATTATAGGTTTGAGGTTAGTTTGCAATAAAGTGTGTGCTTTGTGCAGTGGGCCTTAAAGGGTTTAAACCCCCCTGATCTTCAGTTGGTTGAATTTTTGATATAAATTTCCAAACTACTAAATGATCTATTATAGATCTCCTCTTATGAAACTGAAGTGTTTAATCTTGTTAACATCCATATGATGTTTTTTTATATAATACAGAGACGTGTGAAATAAACAGTCAACTCTATGACTGAATATTTCCACCTTGAACTACAGTGAACCAATGACAGTCTCATAAAAACAGATTCAGACAGCCAGGGTTTCACATGTCACAAACCTAAGGAACCAATCCTGTCAACTTGTGGGGACAGGGGGCAGGGCTAAATAAACATGAAACTTTGTCAGTACAGAAAGAGAGAGCTAGCATTAGCACAACCATTAACTCTGTGTCAGCCACTGCCAGTTACAAGCTAACAAACAACATAAACATATAAAAGATGTATTATTTTGACAGTATTTTTACATAGTGTAAAACATGTCTGGAGAGGAACTTTAAGGCGTGGTAGTGGAGTAATCTTAATGTATCATTCACATTCTTTGCTAGGACTGTATAATGAATGAAAACTGGTATACTTGTTTTCAGGTGGGGCACATTTAAATGTACAACACTAAATTATGGCACAGAGAAAAGGCCTCCACCACTGACCCACTATGCTCCCAAGGTTGGTGTCACTTGGAGATGCAATAAAGTAAAGTTTACAAGTTATTTAATATTTTGGCCATTTTTAGGGTTCATCATTTTATTCTTGGAGTTTACCAAAATAGATCTACATGCTTCAGTGTTATATTTCTTATACTTTAGATCTTACGCTGTACTCTATTCACCCTCTGTCTGAAATGCTTAGAGCTCAGGGCTCTTCAATAATCGAGGAATGGACAGACAATTGGACTTCAGGACCACTTCAGGTAGGGAGTTGTGACCGCTTTGCCCTCTTGCTGGTTTACAATGCTGGTAAATCTGAATTAATTATATTTTTGTGCTCATACTTACTGGAAAAATGAAGCAAATGGTTAAATTATGAATACTTCATCTGAGCTAAGAAGGTATATTGACAAACATTTAAGCATAAAACATCTTTGGATGTTGCTGCACTATTTTGCACTAAGGAGATCAGGTTGCTGGTGACCTGGTTAAACATCACAAATCCACAAATAATAATGCAGATTGTGAGTCCCAGTCTCCCCGTTGGGTTACATAAAGTGGGAACTGCTCCATCCCTCAGAAATTTTTGTAAGCAGTCCTCATTAAAGTGCCGAGCTTAGTAAAATGTTTGGAACAGTAGAGGGAACTGTTGTGAAAATGAATTTTAGCCATTTAGTTCTTTGTTGTCCTGCAGTTGGCAGCAGCAGAGTTGTGGTGTTATTTGTTTAAGCACCTGAAGTATTCTGCCTTATCATCTAATTAACAGCTTAATTCACCGTGCAGTTCAGAGGCTACCGGCAACTTTTATGGTGGAATGTTTTCTTGTTACTCAATGCATGAATTGAGATTTGGAAATTGATCAATACACCTTAAATGTCAATTTTACAACTTGGACCATTCAGTTTGTGGCTCTCTTGCATGACATACACTTTAGTGAAGATTGGATCTTTAAGTGCTTAAAAATGTATATCCATGAATTTCAACATGGGACATACTGACGTCAATAGGTCTAGGAGGTAATGTCTGGACCCCAAATGAGGCATTTCATGCAAATGAGAAAAGTGGGCTTTGCCCTGACAGAGTTACTCCCTTTGGCGTGTACTCTGAGCGCTGCACATAGCTTTTTTTGCATTGTAAATGGTCAACAAAGACCGTGTACAATGCAAAAAAAGCTATGTAACACACTATAGGAAAGGGAAAACTCAGAAAAGCATAATGGGTCCTCTTTAAATTTTGACATTGGTGGCTCTCATCTAAAGGAAACAAACTCAAACTTTTTCCATTAAAAAAACAAAAAATAAATGGTAGGCCATCATTTTTCATAACTACTGGATATCAATCGCTTCCTAGCCAAGATTGTTATCACCAGAAACTAGCCTCATTGGTTGTGTGTGTTTGTTTGTTTTCCAGTCAAGAACCGTGAGTCCTTTTAAATTACAGTAGCTCTAAGAAAAAGGGTGTAAGTGGCTTGAGGTTGATAAAGTGCCACAAAACGATCATTCCAACCCAGTCAACCCAGTCTTTCTTGTAATGGTCAGGGTATTATGTGTTTTGGAAGATAGTGACAAATAATTTTTTCATTTGGTTTGGAGAGATTCACTAAAGCGCAGTGTTGATTAAACCAACCTTGTTGTGTGTCAGTCATTACTTCTTCTTTACACAAATGTGCTATTTAGGGACTGAAATGTAGAAATGCATTTTAAGGCAATGAGAAAGAAAAAGATCCTATTTTACTTTTTAATAGCTTTGGTTACCCTTAAGATATCTATGTGTAAAAATCCTATATGGAAAGACTCCAGCTTCCTTTTGAGAACTTTCACTTCATTTACATGGCTGGAGAAGTAACTATGGCCTTGGGCATCTTGATTTGGGGGATGGGACACTTCTCAGTTGCAGTCATAGCTCAGGATTTACAATAAAATAGCAGCAACAAATGGCTTTTCTATTCAATTACATAGCCAAGCCTGGCTTCAACTATGGAGATCATTGGTAGTGCAATCTTGTGACATCATTGCTTTAGTCTATAAAAGTTTGAAATTGTTATAATAAAATTTTATGGAGAGCAATTTTCTGTACCCTTACCAGCTTAATAAAGTGATGAAAAAATGCAGACATTTAAAACGAGCAGGCTGCAGGAATGTGACACTATAAACATTTCTCTGAACATTGTCATTCATTTTATTTCAATGATGTCATGAGATTGATTTTTCCCTTGACTTAAGCTACAAACTTATGGAACTAAAGGAAATAAAAGCTTGGGGATATTTAGAAACGGAGATGCTTTAAGAAGCCCTTAAAATATCCACTAGATGAAAAAAGAGAGTGAATGAGTATGTGACCCTTGCCTTGGGAAATTAATGTATCTTATGCAATGAATGGATGCAAAAGCAAGGGGTAGCCTATTGATCACTTAAAGAGTGAGAACCCAAATGTTTTCCTTGTGAAAATGACATTTCACAACCGAAAAGGTAGGATTTACAAAGCAACTAACAAACATCAAATTTCCGAAACTGAACTGGACTGAAAGGTGGAAAAGATACTAAACTCATTAGCTGAACCAAACTTATCAGAAAACACCAAGGGCACCTTAGCTATACAAGACAACTGTGTATGAGCTAAGATGGCATCATACATGGAAATGGTATCAGAACACTAGTGGCTCTATCAGGCTGCACTAATGGACAACAACACACTGACAATGCTAAAATGCTAATCTTAATCAAGTAATGTTTACTATATTCACCGTCTTAGTTTAGTGTGTTTACTTCTGCCAAATAGCACTTGATGAAAAGTTATTTTGTTTATACTTATTTGTATGAAACTTCATGACAATCCAATCTGGTGTGTGCAGTATGTTTGAATAATGAAAAAGCAATAGAACAGGTTTAATAGAAAAAAAACAAAAACAAAGACTTCAACCCCAAGTGCTAAAGGAAAAGTCAAGATATCAGCAAAGTCAGTCTCATTTTCTGTGGACTACAACTGTCTCTACCACATCTCATGGAAATACTATCCGATTGTTGGATATTTTATTTTAGGACCAAAGCAATGAACCGACCAAAATTACCATCCCTAGAGCCACTTGTGCAATGAATTAGCAGGACACACCGGAGTAACTCGTCTGTGATAGGGAGATTCTTATGATGGATGGTTAAGGCATCAAATCTAAGGATCTCACGTACCATCTGTGCCCTCTGTACAGATCATCCATGCATTCATCTCTGGAAAATTCCTTTACAATCTGTATCAAACCAGTTATATGCCAAGAGTTTTGAATTGAGTGATCAAAGGGGTGCTTGTATCCTACAGCCTTGTCTGAATGCAATAATTACCACTGGCCTTTTCCCTGTTGTTTTGGATTTGTATGATCACCTGTTGGTATCGCATGTATAAAAGGCTAAATGTCTTCATGGGGAAAAAGTAGAATAGAATAGAATTCATGTTTTTATTATTTGGTTTGTCATTACATTGTTCAAAGAGTGCACTACTAAAGTGTTTGGTGATTGTGGTAGTAGTAGAAGTGGTTTAGACTGTGTGTAGGCTGTAATAATATTTCTGGCCACTTGATGCCAGTGTTTCCTTTTCAGTCAAAACAAAGCCAAAAGGCAGTCTGCCATAAATCCACTGACATTTGTCCAAATGAGTTTACATTTGCACTGTTCTCAAGATGTGTTTATCTAATCTCTGCCTTCACTTAAAAGTAAATAACATGTTGCGTTTCTTCTGTGTTTAACTCTTAGATGTTGGATCAATTTGTCTTACTAG